GACGACGAGAGAGAAAGAAGAGGAAAAGCTGCGGGAAAGGAAGAGAATGAGGGAGAGAGCGAGATTTACAAATATATATATGTGTGCACTAGGTCTTGATATCTTGGTTTCCAAGACAAACACATCACACGCATAAAACCCGTAGGAGAAGGAATAGAAAGAAAAATTTCGGTTCTTAATAAAAATCTGGCCGGATTTGGGCTCGCGGGCCGGATCGCAAAATAAATCGGCTCACGGGCTCGATTACAATTCAAACGGATATTCTCGGGGCCAATTTTGGTTCCAAAGAAAATTTTCGAGCTCGATAACGAATTCAACGTGCGATAAAAAAAATAAACCGAACAATATATATTTTATATATATATATATATATTAATACACATTATTCACATTTGATAATCAAATAAAATCACGAAAATCAATTAAACAATTAGACATTTAGCATTTAATCACATTTTGGCAATAAATAATATTATGGCATTCAAGAAAAATAAATATAAATATTAATAACAATAATAGTAACAATAATAATAACAATAAAAATAATAATAATATTCTCAAATAATCCACAAATAAACGGGGCACTACAGCATCTCTTATAGGGGCTGGCCTTCTTGCTGGCTATATCGAAAACATCATGAAGTGTGTATCTTCGTCCTCGATGCAAATTCTATGGGACGGTACACCATGCAATGAATTTGAGCCTCCCAAGGGGTAAGACAAGGGGACCCCATTTCACCGTACCTCTTCGTTATGTGTATTGAACGACTCACACATGCTATTCAAGTTGAGATAGAGGCCGGTCACTAGAAACCGATGTCTATGGTGCAAGGAGCTGTACAAGTACCCTGCTTACTTTTTTCTGATGACCTTCTCCTCTTCGTAGAGGCGGATAGGAGCCAAGTTGATATTTTGAAGAGGGTGTTGGGATCCTTTTGCAGTGAGTCCGGGCTGAAAATAAGCGAACCAAAAACCACTGTATACTTCTCGAAAAATGTCTTACTTGACATCCAAGAGGCTTTGGCCAATAGACTAGGGTTTTTTCTTATTGAGAACCTCGGTAAATATTTGGGAGTTCTGCTTCTTCATGGTAGGGTTAATAAACAGACATACGCTCACATTCTACAAAAGGCATAATCAAGACTAGCGGGATGGAAAGTTTCATCTCTCTCATTTGTGGGCCGCCTGGTCCTAGCTCAGTCGGTGGTTAGTTCGCTTACCATTTACACCATGCAATTTTTGTGGGTCCCGACTGATATATGTAATGGCATTTAAAAGATTTGTCGACGGTTTATTTGGGGAGGTACCCGGGGCAACATAAGCTAAGGTTGGTCCATTGGGATGACGTATGCAAACCTCGTAGTGATGCCGGCTTGGGAATGAAGTCACAAAAAAAGAAAAAAAAAAAATGAACGAGGTCCTGTTGATGAAATTGGCCTGGGGGTTCTTGACGAAACTGAACGCTCTTTGGGTTCGC